ATGAGGAACTGACTAGTCAGGTATTAGCCAGTAAGTGGTGGAGTCAACTCCAACCCAGTCTGTCCAAATGCAAAGTCCATGTTTCCAACCACTCCACGCAGCTGTCATTAGATGTGACCAAAGTGCTGAAGCTACAGCCTTGATTGGAAGATTCACTGGAATGAAGCCAGCCAGCTACGTCTAATGGTGAAAAACAAAACAAAATTAAACAACAAAATCAAGGAACTTAAGGAAAATGCTCCATTTTATTTCAGATTTGAGATACATGCTTCTCATTAGTATCAGAACTTTTATTTTTGTATTTTCATTCAATTTTATAAAATAAGGTAGAATGCAAAAAATTTCTAATAACTGTAAAAATATCCTGGTACAAACTGAGACGGTAACATGCAGACCCTGGAGACCTTCAGGTACTGGGCGATGCCATCATGCTGTGGGCCAGATTGTTTATTCACAGCTGTTGAATGAAGGTTGCCATAGAAAAGATGATTTTCTGTGGGAGGAGGACATCAATGGATTATGCACAAAACGGTGAGTTGGACTAAGTCTAATCTACAAAAGCTATAACGACTTGTTGAATTTTAACTAATACCTTTACCATTAACATGTCTTATTTAGGGGTGTCAAAAGCAATTTTAGAAGGTGCTGGACCAGCTGTGGAAAAGGAATGTGCTGTACTAGGTATGGTCACATGTTACTTTTGGCTACAACCTGTTGAAAATTGGAGGGCTGAGAATACGGTGAGAGGACCCATGGGAGGGCGAGAGTGGGGAGTAAGTGGTGAGCGCTCTGGAAGAAGGTCGCTTCACTGGGCGAGCAGACATAGGTGGTGTGACTTGGTGGCTGTGTGGGAGAGGTCCTTTCTCCCAGCATCCCCTCTGTCTCTTCCTTCCCGAGTATTAAAAGGAACCCAAGCCTGGGTCCTAATAATCCAGGCTCCACCACATACTGAGGGATCCTGGGCATGTCGTGTGACCTCTGAGAGCTTTGCCTCTCTCACCCGTAAGATGCTTTTACTAACAGGGAGTTTGCTAATGGTTTTCCCACAGGTGGTTGTGAGGATCAGAAGGAACAACGAATGTAAAAAGTTTTATAAACTGTAAAGTGCTGTACAAATCATCTTTATTTTCCCCACTCTTGTTCTACTTCATATAGCACATCATGTAGCTGACCTCTAATCCTTTTATGAATAGATGTGGGAGCCTGGGTGGTTCTGAGGTGTTTTCTGACACCAACCAATTCTCCAATTCTGCTATCTACCCAGAGTTAGCACCAGATTCCACAAGTTAAAGGGCTCAGTCCCCCAAGGCTGCCCCCACTTCAAATACCAGTTGTAAGTCTCAGGGGCCACCTGTGCTTCTGATGGACCAGCTATAAATTCACGGTTTCCCACAACCCCCTTCTCAGGTTTGACAATTCACTGGAACAACTTACAGAACTCAATAGAATACTTTTCTTACATTTCCCAGTTTATTATAAAGGATACAACTCAGGAACAGCCAAATGGAAGAAATGTGTCCAACCACAAAACTAAAACAATTTAGTAATGAGTTTGAAGTCCTTTATTAAAGGGAAGACAATCCATGGACTGGGCAGTACGGTGCCTCTCTAGCAGTAGAGCACTCTTCCTGAGGAATTTTGGGCAAGAGTGAGTTCATAGAGCGTTAGAAGAGGCAATGGGGAAATTGTGCGTGCTTGGCTGGGGTTGCATGTATGCCCTTATTTAGAAAGATCAAGGAACAAGGAGATAAGTACAGAGCCCAGAGTTGGCTAGGTGTTTAGGGCTTGGCTGACAGATATACTGTGTTCCTGGTCAAGTAGAGCATTTACAGGAAAACAAAAGTTCGGTTTCAAAGTTCAGTTTGCTGATGTGGCACCATGGGGAGGAGCAGCTCCATCTTGGGCCTAGAAATTTATTTAAGCAAATGTGTAGGGCAAGGAGGTAAAAGCAATGTGTTCTGTGGAAGAAGGGGCACAGAGTTTCAATGACCTTTCCAGGCATACCACCCTTCCAGCACCTACATGAGTTTACCAACTAGGAAGTTCCTGAACCCTGTTGTTTAGTGGTTTTATGGAGGTTTCGTTATGTAGGGAGGATTGATTAAATCATTGGAATTGTGATTGACCCTGGAGGTGATGGGGTGGGGCTGAGAGTTCCAATCCTCTAATCATGGCTGGGTCTTTCTGGATACCAGCCCCATTCTGAAGCCATCTAGTCCCACACCCTCCAGGAGTCATCTCGTTAGCCTATAAATACGCTCTTATCACTCAGGAGATTCCAAAGGTTTTAGGAACTCTGAGCCAGGAAACAGGGACAAAGACCAAATGTCTATTTTTTCTGATACCACACTGGGGAACCTGTAAGAGTGATCATAAACTATTTATCCTTCAAAACCAGGACTTGTGCCTTGCCCAGTAGACACTCAGCCATGAGTGTGATTTGAAGAAGTCAGTGTCCTACATTGGACAATAATACATTCCCACAACTTGATCTGCTATCGTGCCTGAAACTCCTACTTCAATAGCCCTCCTCTGATTAAGACACTTTCTCTGGAGGAATAAATCCCTGGAGAGAGGTCAGAGGAAGGAGATATTGATCACCAGCATGAGGATGTTAGCAGGGGTCTGTGCGCTGGAAGAGCCAGCTGTCCCTTGGAAGGCAGAAGCAGAGAAGGAAGCTGGGCTGGATGAGCTGGGAAAGCCTAAGGAGGCTGCCTGGGAGAGGAGAGCAGGTGGGACACTCCAGGGGCAGCAGGGAGTGCCTGGGCAGTGGGAGCCCAGCAGGAGGGCAGGGTGGAGTGGGCAGGGACCCAGACTCGTCCTCCTCCATTTGCTGGAGCCCTGCCTTTCTCAGGGTACAAAAGGGCCTTAAAACAGCCCTGGTAATTTTTCATGTGCTTAAGAGCGCTCCAGGTCCTGAGGGAGGGGGAAATTGTCATCCTTTCACACCTCCACACCACAGAACACGTTGCTTTTAGCTCCTTGAAAATTAGCTCCACATAATTGCTCTTCTGGACAGTAGAGTGGGAGTTCAGATCCTGAGCAATCTTAGGCTACTGAGCTTACCTCTCTGTGCCTCCATTTAATCTGTGAAATGGAGAAAACAGAACCTGCCTCACAGGCTTGTTTGGAGGGTTGAGTGGATTAACCCAGGTAGAGTGCCTCAAATATTCAACAATGTAGCTGCTAAGTTAAAGAATCCTGATTGTAGAGAAAATGATCCTGTCACAGTCCCAGTGAATGAAACCAGCTGGGTGGAGGGAGGCTGCACTCAGGAATCTTCTTGGCTTTTCCTGATGTCAGCTATTTTCATTTCTCAGTGATAAAGGTGTTGCTTCCACTAAGTATGTTCTCTGTGTGTTTCCTTTTCTTTCTTTTTTTCAGCTGCACATCCTCACAGAGATTTTATAGTTACACAAGGTGGATACCTAATGTGCAAGATAATAATGCATGTTCTTGGGGATAATGATGTCAGGAAAACTGTGTCCAGAGTTCTAGAAGAGTGTGAACAGAGGAAGTACACATGGGTTTCCCTTCCACTCAGTGCAGCAGGTTTGTATCCTCTTGTCACTGTGTGAGATCAAGATTTGGCCACCCTAAAATCTATCTCTTTACCTTGGTGGTTTTCTCTAGGGACATTTGACCTCCCCCACTAACCGCCTAAAGAATTTGACATGGTGGCTCCTTCCTGGAACAGATCTATCATGATGGCTGTAAAGATAATGTATGATAAATATTACAATAGGAAAGGCACAAACAAGCCCATCTTATCGGAAGTTCTGTCTCTCTGGCCACATTCTCTGGATGGCCCTGCGAGGAGTTGCCAGACAATCATTTACATTTATAAGGGAAATCTCCATTAGTAAAGGTATCTCCCTCTCTGTTTTGAGAAGAGAGGGGGATGGCCTCATTTCTAGAGGCTTATCAACGTGGAAGTAGAGGCCTTAAAGCTGCATAATAACCTTACTCTTGTTTGCTGTGCTTTAGTGGTAATCTCCTGTAACTCACTCCCCCCACCCCCAAAATCCTCCTTTGTCATTGGCTGAACATGGTATTTAAGACGAGAATTTCTGCTATGGTGTTGAGAAAAGCAGTGTCCCTGCTTTCTCCCGTGTATACATGTTATTAAACTTGGTATTATTTTCTCCTGCTAACCTGTCTTGTTAATTATTTGGCCAGCCCTAAGAACCTTAAGGGAAAGGGCAGAGGGAGATTCTCCCTCTTCCCCCAACATCACTCAAAAATTGTAAGCAATCCAGATCCCTTTAGACTTAGTCTCAGTCTTAACGAACTCCATGTGCTGAGTCGAGGCAGCAATAGTGATGTCAGAGAGTGGGCAGCCTTTCAGACCCTGAGGGCCACCTATGGGGCCTCTGCCCCTTTCACCCATCTTTCTTCTTTGTATTATGTTCCCTAAGTGTCTTCCCATGTTGGGCCCTTAACTTCCTGGTTTTCTCACTCTTCTTTTTTTCCTTTGGGGGATTCATTTACTCTCATTATCTCAATTACTGTTTCTGCCCTGACTCCCAAATCAGCATTTCTAGCCTTCTCCAGGATCTCCTCTGGGACATTTCTCTGTTCCAGAAATTAATTATAAGAGAGTCCAAACTCATCATCACCATCATCATCCCTTGCAAAGCGTCACCACTCTTGAGTTGTTTTCTAGTTTCCTCCTTGGGTGGTGCCGTGATGCTCCCAGCTTCCTGCCACCCTTGCTTCCTGGTGCCCTGAGACCCCCAGAGTCAGCACGTCCCACTAAATCTTCTTCCAGGGGAGGTTCAGTTTTAGTCTTCCTTTTAGTTTCCAAACCCCAAATACCTCCCCCTTCTGGTTTACTGTGGTGTCTCCCACAGGCCCCTCATTCGCGCATTCATTACATTGAAATGCTGTTCCCCAGGTCCTGTGCAAACCGCTGGGGATGAAATCACAAGTGAGACGCAGTTGCTGTCCTCAAACCACAAGCTCAGCTTCATCCCGCTCACAGTTTCTAGGAACACTTTCCTCATCATCTCTCACATCACACAATAATTTCCCTAGTCGAGGATGATGCTAATGACCCGCTCCCTGATTCCTTCACCTCCCAAATCACGGGCTTTTTTAAAGGCCCTGAGAGAAGCCCTAATAATGCTTTTATAAGGTTATATGATGTAATAAAACTTCACAAGTACAATATTTTAACCACGATGGGTTGAAACCACTGTTTCTTCCCACTGTCCCACCTCCCACACAGACTTCTCAGACTGCTCCTGGCACTGGGGGTTGGAGTGGCTACAAGCATTTTTGGATACAGCTAGGGAAAGGTGATTTGGAAATACAATTTTCAACATTTTAAAATTTTTTTGTGATTTATTTATTGTGATTTCTTTTCTGATTCTAAACATTCACTTTTATACATAATTTTATATTTGTAGTTTGTATTTTTTTCTGAGATGTATAAATTTCAAACCCTACAAAACCTGGACCCACTCCTGACTGTTAGTTTCCTCATTTTGCAGATAAAGATTTGAGGTATTAAAGCACAAGGTTATAGCTAGTAAGCAACAGAACTAGGTTCAAATGCAGGCAGCCTGGCCTATACATTTCAACCATGACATTTTTTTTTCATTATGTGTTTTTTTACCGTCATGCTCTTAATTACTATATTCTTAGCTACCACATTCTTATCTCTATTATCTATTACCTTCTATTATCAGCCCAATTTTATTGCTGAGTAAATAGAAGTTTAGAGATATTACGGGCTGAGTTCTGTCCCCCCAAAATTCACATGTTGAGGTCCAAACCCCCAGTACCTCAGAATGTGACCATATTTGGAGAAAGGGTCTTTAAAGAGGTAATTAAGTTAAAATGAGGTCATTAGAGTGGTCCCTAATCCAATGTGACTGATGTCTTCCTTAGAAGAGGAGATCAGTACACCGATAGATACAGAGGGAAGACCATGCAAATACACAGGAAGAAGATGGCCTAGGAGAGAGGCCTCAGAAAACAAATCTTTCCAACACCTTGATCTCAGACCTCTAGCCTCCAGAATTGTGAAAAAATGAATCTCTGTTGCTTAAGCACCAATCCATGGCGCTTTGTTATGGCAGCCTTAGCAAACTAATGTAAGAGGGATCAAATGACTTACCCAAGATCATACCACTAATCAGTGGAGAGCCAGGACCCAAACCCAGATCTTCTGCATCCAAAGCATGTTCTCTTCTCTGCACTGCCAATGCCCTGCAACTAAAGCACACCAGGAACACACATGATGGGGAATGGTGCAGCTTCTCAGCAAGAGGTTGTTAGAAAGGACTTGTTAATGGATTTGAGTTTACGGTAGGTGACTTTGTGGCAGTCTCAAGTAAGTGGGGCTTTGCCCTGGGTTGGATACTTCCAGGAAGCAGACATAGGTCTATGACTGAGTATCTTATCTAGAAGGAGAGAAAAGCTGTGATTGGTAATAAAGCAGCCATCACTCACAGTAGTCAAGATGGAGGATGTCTGGCCAATTTGTGGTTTGGATAGCATTCATGTTTTTGTCTGTGGTCGGACATGAGTATACAGTGGTCTTGTTTTTGGCTTAATTCACCTCAATCACAGAGTGGTTTATGTGATAATGTTCTATGAAATAGTTTGTGTTAATTTGGAGAACACCAAGACCCAGCAAGTGCCAGGGCAGTTCCTGGCTTTCAGAGGCTGCTTTCCACTTGAACTGCATCAAGAACTACACTTGCCAAATCTTGTCACATGACCAGGACCAGCTGAAACTTCTTTTTGCCAGTAAAAAAAACTTTTTTTCAGGAAATGCTAGAAAAAACCTATCATCGTTGCTGATGACATAATCAACACTATTGCAGACTTCACATGGAAATATTCCACCCCGTCATTAAAAAAAGTTAAAGTTGTCATCTTTCCAACTGAGCTGCTAAAGGTATTCCATGACAGCATGAGAAAAAGAGAAGTCTCTGCATCACCTACCATTCAGTCCTTATTCTCCAGGCTGCATGTAAGAAGTTCATCTTTAAAACATCACATGGTTATCTCTAATATCACTAAGAAAATGTTTAGATGTGAATGCTCATGGTTTCTATCAGTTTCAGGACTTGACAGACAACCTCCTATGATACATGGGAAAAGTACAAGAAGTGTGGGACACAATCTTCTGTCAACTGGTTCTTCTTCTGAGGGGCAAAAATCATGCCTGGGACACAGGAATAGCAAGTGAACAGGAAGAGAATAGAGACGAGGGAGCAGGAAAAGGGGAACAGGCTTTGAAAATGCTAGCCAGTCATCTCATCATTTACTTATTGATTGGTACTGAGCCTCAGTGTGCTTGTCGCTATGAACTAGCTGATCAGTGCTGGTTCTTGATCATCCACCTCTAGACAAGTTAGCCTGGGAGTGGACGCAGAGCAAGAAGGGAGCGGCCAGAGTCCTCTGGTTGTAGCACATCGCGGGCAGGCAGAGTCCCAGGTGTGATTCTGTAAGGTGTGTGTAGATGCATTATCTTTAAGTGTCTGTGTTGACCTGCTCCTCTGACCTAGCTTTCCCCCATTTTGTGGCTTCTGTCCTGCTGTTTAACTAGAAATGCAGCCTCCTCTGGCAAACACTGTTTTTGCCCATTTTGAGCACTCACCCATAAAGCACTGTTTCACTAGTGATGAGGCACACCTGTCATCAGCAGCCTCCCGAAACTGAAAATTGCTGCCTCCTGCTGCCAGCGGGAATTTCAGTTCTCTCTGAACTTATTTCCTGACTATTATCCTCCTCAGTGTAATACAGCACATGTAAGAGCTACACACACACACACACACACACACAATAAATGAAAATGATAGCTGGATCTGTTAAGGCTCTTACAGTAACGAGTAATAGAAAATCCAGTTTAAACTGGCTTAAGCGACAATGGAATTCATTAACTCACATGATTATAAAAGTCCAGGCATACCGACTTTAGGTGCAGTTTGATCCAGGTGCTTATATGGTATTATCTTGACCCTGACTTTCTTCATCTCTCACTCTCTTCTCAGCTGTGCTGTCTTTATCCTCAGGCTTCACCGTGGTGAAAGATGGCTGCTAGCAGCTTCAGGCACATATCTTGGTATGGTCAGGTCCAATAGAAAAGACAGTATCCAGTGGAGATATATACTTATCATGGGAACATGACACCTGAGAACAGAAATACTCATATACGACCTGAGATTCCTTCTAACTGGACCAGCTTAGGTCATCATCGCAGCCAGGCAACTAGAATTACACTGAGTGGCCAAGCCAGAGTCACATGCCCCACACTTGAGCTAGCAGAGATCAATATCTGAAGCAAGGGGGAAGGGTGGTTCCCCAGAGAAAATTCAGGATGCTTGTACCAGGAAAAGGGGAAAAGGATGCTGGGCAGTTAAAAATAATACATACCTACTATAGTATCTAGGGATATATAAACTACCATTGTTTTCCCTTTGGTCTTTGTAGAAGAAAATTTTTATTTAAACATAAGAACATAAGTCATTATCAGTAAAGTGAAAAATAAACTGTTTCATTCACTGCTGCTTTCACCAAGAATTTAACTGGACTTATGAAATTTAAAAAACAAAATAGGGGGCCAGCCCAGTGGCGCAAGCAGTTAAGCACGTGCGCTCCGCTGGGGTGGCCCGGGGTTCACCGGTTCGGATCCCAGGTGCGCACCAATGCACCGCTAGTCAGGCTATGCTGTGGTGGCGTCCCATATAAAGTAGAGGAAGATGGGCATGGATGTTAGTCCAGGGCCAGTCTTCCTCAGCAAAAAAAAAAAAAAAAGAGGAGGATTGGCATTGGATGTTAGCTCAAGGCTGGTCCTCCTCACGAAAAAGAAAAACAGGAAAGTTAGAGAAGCAAACAAAAAAATGACTTAAATCAGCAGACAAGTGGCCATATGGCACTTGAGGCAAAAACAAACAGCAACAAAACTGCCTTACATGATCTTTGTTGGTGGATAAAAGGAATAATATAGATAAAGTGTCAGGTGAAAGGAAGTTTGTTGGCAGAGGTAAGCAGAATTTTAGTAATAATTTATCTTATGTACTTCTTTAGAAGAGAACTTACAGAGGATAGCTTTAAGCTTCATTGAGCAGATGATACACAATTACTTTTCCAATGTATGTTAAAGCTATTTATTGTTTCAGAGAGCAATTATTGAGCACCAACTATATATCAGACACTAGAGTTGTAGATTTGGAGTCATGTAAGTAGGTGGGAGTTGAAGCCAGTGAGTGTGAATTGGATCGTCCATGGAGAGTATGAAGGGTGAAGAGAGTGAAGATTGAGGCAGAGCCAGGATTCTTGGTGTTTAATCTCACCTCCACACGTGTAGAGGAGACTGAGACAGGGCACACAGTGGGAGGTGCAGGAGGGCATTTATCTTGAATGCCAGGAATGGAAAAGTACAGTGACATTTATCTTTTAAAAGAGATTTACAGAAGAAGGGCTCAGGAAAGTGCCTGGCACATGGTAAACACTTACAGAAAGGTAGCTATTGTGTTGTTTTCCATGAAGCACTGGGCTGCAAGTCAATAGAACAAGATTCTGTTCCTTACTTTGGTGGTGGCCTTCCGTATAACATTGCATGCATGAGTACTCAGCTTTCCTGGGACTCGGTTTTCTCATCTCTAAGTTGTCTAGCCAGAGTCACCTCTTGCCCACAAGGCAGAGTAGGTAGCACAGTTTGGTGTGGCTTAAGGGTGTGATTTAAAGGTCTCTCCTCTCGGGCCAGCCCCGTGGCTTAGCGTTTAAGTGCACGCGCTCCGCTGCTGGCGGCCCGGGTTCAGATCCTGGGCGTGCACAGACACACGGCTTCTCCGGCCATGCTGAGGCCACGTCCCACATACAGCAACTAGAAGGATGTGCAGCTATGACATACAACTATCTACTGGGGCCTTGGGGGACAAAATAAATAAATAAAAATCAAAAAAAGAAAAAAAGTCTTTCCTCTCAAGAAAATACCCTTGGCTTTACACTTTACTCCCTTTTTAAGTACAGATACTTCTGGAATGTAGAAAAGATCAAGCTTAATCATTTTCTAAGAATAATAAACATGTTTATGAAGGACTTGGCATTCCCTAAAGTGCTTCCACGCCTCTTATTATATTTTAAATTTGTTACAATCCCATGAGGCTGTATATAGAGCAGGTCTTATCATTTCCGTCATATAGATGAGAACATGAAGACCCACTCAGAAGTGGTATCACTTGCTTGATGCCACATGGCTGGTCACAGGTTGAGGCAGATCAGGTCTTCTGATTCCAAGTCCTGGTAGTTTCTGCTCTGCAACCTCATGGCATGAAAGGAAGAGGGGGCCTGAAGAAATGCTTCACTGCCTTACTTCCCGGTATTGCCTGCTGTATTCAGAGAAAAGAAAGTAGCAGGTCCAAGAGAACTCTAAGGCCTAGGACTAGAAATGATTAGGCCAAAAGATCTGAAAGGAATGGGCAGTGGGGAAAGGAAATAATTGACGGAAACTACACATCCTATTGGCAGGAAACTTCTCCAGAAAATCTCTTTTAAAATGGAATTTGAAAAAGTCTTCTAGATTAGGGTTAGATGCTTCCCTTGGTCACCAGAGGTTCCTTCCCTGGAAGGACCTGCCAGACAGGAAGGGAGTGCCCTGGATCCCTCTCTCTAGCCTGGTGTATCTTTCACTAACAATGAATAAATTGTGGCTTTGTTTGTAGGGAGAAATCCTTTGGTTTATACCTGTGGTGTTGTGCCATTTTGTGGCATTTTCTTCTCTAATACTATCTGTCCATACTTCTGCTACTCACGCCATCTCAGGAAGTTGATGTGTAGCCTCAATGTGTTGGAAGTTTCTGGAAATCATTGGAAAGCAAAGGAAAACTCCTAGTTTCATCACTTTATATGGAAGCATTCACTTAGCACTTCCAGTATTTTCCTTACGTAGTGTTTACTTAGCGTAGAAGGTGAGATAGAGAACAATGTGCTTTAAATATCTTTAGTAGGGTCATCATGTGTCAAAAAACAATAATAAAGGACCACACTAAATAAAACTGATAAAGTTGAAAACATCAATAAATTGGCTTTCATGTTAAGGTATCAGTTTCTTATGGAATTAATTCTATAGAATTTTCTGGGAAAATTATAATTTCAAGCTAGAGTAAATCTAAGTCTACCTAAAAATTTTAGTTACACCATTATTTAACATATATCATATTAGTGTCAGAACCATTCACTTCATCTGTGGTACCAAATTGAGGATAATAAAAGAAGCAACTGTGAAATGTGTAGCTTTTTTTTTTTTCCAAAGCCCGGGATGAGATGAATGAGAAACAAGAGCGTAGGAAGTGCCCTGATTTTCAGACAGCCCTGGAAATGAATGTCATGTTTTCACCAAATGCTGACTTTCTAGATGATATTCCTGTACACTGGACTGACATGAATCAGCAGTGGTCCTGTGTGATCCAGCTACAACCTGGACAGTCAGAATATGACACTGTGAAGGACAAGTTCTCTCAGACTTGTTCTTCCTACAAAATAGAGAAGGTAATATTACATTAAAGAATTACTTCTTTTAAATATTGAAGAACAAATATGAAAGTCATCTTTTTTCATAACACTCTTCCTTCCTTTATTCCTTACTATATTAATGTTAATTAGACTCACTCAAGCTCCCTAGACTTCAAATCTTATGGTTCATTCATTAGCAGTAATGAAGGAGATTCCCAAAGTCACATGTATATGTATGAATACTTTTACTTATAATTTACAAACCCACTCAAACTGATTAAACAAGAAGAAATATATTGGAAATTAATGGAAAGTGAAGAAGGAGGATGGTCTTTGAAGCAGTTTGATCAAGTTGTTCAATGATGTCATAGATCTGGTTCCTCTGGCTTTGCTGTCCACAGTGTCAGTCTCATCTGAAGGCTGGACTCCCTTTGTGATTATAGGATGGCTGCTGGTGGCAATCAGGGGATCTCTGTTTCCCCCATTCACATCCTACAGAAGAGAAACTGTGTTCTATCCCACAACCACTGGATAGGAGTCCCAGGCTTTGTGTTGAGTGGACCACTCCAACCAGTCTGTGTCAGGGGAGTGCCATATGCCATTGGCTTGGACCTGGGCTGTTGGATCCCATCATTGTGTGCTGCCATCATGAGATTACCTTGATTGGTTTAACCTAATTATAAGTGGAGAACTATAAGTGGAGCCAACTCTACCCAAACCAGGAGTTGCTGTGCAATGGGGATGAAGTGGAATGGATGTTTAGAAATTCCCACAATGTCCACTATGCTGCATAAAAATGTTAGCCAGTAAAGTATAGGAGTTTTTAGAAGGTCATTATCATATTATGTATATCAGAACAGGGTGTGGTATCATAATAATTTAAAATCTAGCTACTACTTCCATAAAACTGTGAACTTAACTACATTAGAGCACTTATGAAATTGTGTTTTGATAACCCTTCACTTTCCTGACTGCACTATTAGACAGTGGGCTTAAAGTAGGAGTCGCATCTTACTCATCTCAGGGTTCCTAGTACTTAGCACAGTGCCTAGCATGTCGTAGGATGCAATACTTATTGAAAGAACTTAATTGAATGTATGACCTTAATCCCTCAGAAAGAAGGAGAATCAGAAGAGAGAGACTCCTGCAGAAAGGACAGAATCTAAAGGAGGAGGTGCTTTGTGATGTGAAAAGCTATTGAGAGTACAAGAACCTCGCTTCAATAGTGTTTACCCAATATCTGCAACTCTCTTGGCCCTTCTCCTTCTATCACACACATTTTGCAACAGTCCAACTTTGGATTTGTTCCATAACCTACCTTCTCTCCTGCTGCTCCTAGATAAAATCATTACTAATTCATATTCCCTAATAGCTGAACACTCCAGGTGCCTGGAATCCTTCATTGCTTCCTCCAGTCAGTTTCCTGATGCATTCCCATTCCAAACCTTCACCACTCTCCTTGAGGCCTCCATCACTCTCAGCAAAATAACTTTTCCTCCTGCTTTTATTGTTTGGTTTCTCCTCAGCATCTGCTACAGGTATCCACTCCATTCTTCTTGAACCTCTCTTCTTCCTTTGTTTCTAGAACATCATTTCCTCAGATTCCTCCTCCCTCTCTAGACATAGATTATCTGGATCCCTTTCTTAGGCTTTCATAGTCCATATGAGTTCTCCTAACTCATCCCTTATCTCTCTGAGGGGTAGTGATTTGTTTCTTGTCTTTCCCCTCCATTAACTAAAAGTTCTTGAGGGCAAAGACCCAACACAGGGCTTGATTCATAGCAGATGTTCAATAGATGACTATTGAATGTATGTTAAATTCATTTTCTATAAGGAAGAAGAACCAACAGAGAATGATGTTTTGAAAAAGTTAAAGAAAGACAAAGTTGTAAGGAAGGGGTGGTTCATGATTTGAAATGCTGTTGAGGGTCTAGAAAGAAATACTCATTAGATCAGCAATTATCAGCTGATTAATAACCATAATTGGAGCAATGCAGAAAAAACTGTTACTGGGAAGAAGACATATGGAGTGGGTTTGGAGATCAAAAGGAGTTGAGGAAATAATTATTGAATTATCACAAATTTTTGAATAGGTATTTGAATGTCAGTGAATCTCCAGGGATTCCAGGGAATATATATAGGTAAACATTTTCATATATACTTTGTAAGTTCTGTTATGTAAAATAGGTAGTAATAAGCACTATTACAAAGTACAGATACTAATAGATACTTTAGCCTATACTTTTTCTAAAGTCAGAAAGGCACCTACTCTCTCAATTTCCTGTTTATTTGCATTTTCTTATCCTTTTCCTTCACCTCCTCCTCCCCTCTCAGACCTCTCCTCCTCCTCGTCCTCCTCCTTCTCCATATTGCTTTTTTATAATCCACACACATGAAAAAAAACCCCACAATATACTGAGCTCTAAGGTCATTTCCAAAATGTTTTGCTTTTTGTCATTCATAGATTGAGAGGACACGGAATGTAATTGTCTGGCAGAGCTACCAGGTAAAGAAAAACCACATGGACACCAAGAACGGCCAGAGAGATAATAAGAGACTCCTCTTCCATGGGACAGATGCAGACACCGTGCCGTATATCAGTCAGCGTGTCTTTAATCGCAGTAATGCTGGGATGAATGGTAAGGAAGCGAGTAATCTGGCTGATCAGAATGAGGTGAACAGTAGTTCTGGTGTTGACTGTTCATACCCATGCAGTGTAGAACCATAGATGGCAGCCATATTGTCATCGTCAGGATGGAATGCACTGTGTTCCACTGAAAGGAGACTGGCAACCTTCTGAGGACAGGTGGAGTGAATTTTAGAAATGATGAAAAGTGGCTTTGGTGGACAAGAACTTCATTTTTAAAAAGTTTTGTTGGGTTTGGGCATGGTTCTACATACTGTGATAATTTTATGTTCTTAGGAAGGCTTTTGTCTTTCTCTTTACGGCAGCAACCTATGGAAAATGGAACATATTTTGCAGTTGATGCCAGTTATTCTGCTGATGATCAATACTCCAGACAAGACAGCGGTGGGAGAAAGCATATTTATGTTGTGTGAGTACTTACAGGAGTCTATACACGTGGACGTGCAGGAATAATTAACCCTCCATCAAAGAACACAGAGAATCCCACAGATCTGTACGACTCCGTCACAGGTGATACCCAACATCCAAAGCTATTTGTGGTATTCTCTGATAATCACACTTATCCAAAATATCTCATGACTTTCAAATGTTAAAAAAAATAGGTTTCTTTTAATCTCAAAAAGGTTATGCAGTCATCCATTTATGAGAACAATCTATAGAGTTTTTGTCTTTGCCTTTGACTTGTTTACGTAGATAAAAATCACCCTGTTAGGTGCTTAAATGCTGAAAACAGGCTTTTAAAAAATGCCCTAGTGCAATTTGTAGCATTCTTCTCTTCTGAGCATCTTGACAGGTGGAAGCTGAGAGATGTAAATGACACAATTATAGCTACAACTATCCACAGACACCAAATCTGTAGAAGAACAAAGAGCAGATAAGTTTTTTTCTACTGGAAAAGAGATAAGATGAATCACTTTAAAGCCAAGATGTTATTGTTCTTATTGGAACATGTTAAGATATCAAACTGTGCTGAGCTAAACCATACTTCTCAATTAATAGGTTGCTATTTTGCATCTGTAACAGCTGGGGATTTTGCCTCCTTAAGAAACACTTATTAGTATCAGCTCAGCTAGAATGACTGAATCAAAGAATATTACCTCAAATCTGTTGTGGAAAAAATAAGGTAAAAATGTGTTGTGTTGTTATCTAATGCTGTGTAACATATTACCACAAAACTTAGAGGTTTTGAGGGTCAGGAATGGAGACACAGCTTAGCTGGGTGGTTCTTACTTAGGATCTGTCGTAAAGTTGTAGTCAAGGTGTCGGCAGGTGATGCAGTCATCTGAAGGCTTGACCGGGTTGGAGGATCTGTTTCCAAAGTGAATCACTCAATAGCTGGCAAGGTTTCACTGGTTGTTGGCAGGAGTCCTCAGTTACTCTCCACATGGGCCTGTCCACAGGCTGCTTGAGTGTCCTCATGACATGGCAGCTGGCTTACTCCACTGGGAGAATTCAGGAGAAAGAGAAGCAGAAGATGTCTGTTACGATGTAGCCTCTGAAGTCATACTCCATGTTTTCCAAAATATCCTATTGGTTACATGGATCAGCTCATTCTATGTGGGAGGAAATTATTACAGGGGCATGGATACCAGTAAGCAAGGAGCATTGGGAACCATCTTGGAGGCCATACGAATGAGTGAATGAATGGTGAATTGAAAAAATGTTAGCAGTGAAAAGGAAGCTAGAGTTCATCTAGTCCTACTGTCCTCTATTCCTTCTTCTCCCATCTTCCCCCACTCCCAGGGCAAAAAGCCCTCTAGCCTCTGCTTATCCACTTCCAGCACTCAACATCTTGAGGGAACCTATTCCATTGTGGGACAGCTCTAACTATTGGAAAACTCTTGTGTAAACTCTTGGATTTCCCTGAGTTGAAATCTGTTTTTCTCTATTACCTGCTGATCACTGTCCTACCTTCTGGAGGACACAGAACATGTCTCATTTCTTTTACAGACGGTGGCCCTTCAGGTTCCTCCCTTCCCTCTATTATATTAGAGTCAGGTAAATTCTTAGACCATTAGCAGCTTATTTATCCTGAAGCATCGCTTTTCAAGAGTTGCAGGCATTTAAGACATAGTTACATTATCATAAAGCACATGCATGGTGAGACTAGTATAGAAAAGTATAAAGGAAATAACCCTCTCTCACCATATTCCATCACCCATAATTGCAACACTCAGAGGAAACCACTGCCAATGTTCTTCTGTATTCCATTCTAGCTACTTTCTCCATCTACCTTCAACAAAGTCAAAATCGCAATTAATGCAATTTACTAATTACACAATATTTTGTCTACCATTTTTCATTTAACATTACAAGTATTTCCCTCATGTTATTAATTTTATCTGCAAACATAATCTTAATGGCTAAGTTATTCCACTATATATTTTCCTCTTTTTGTGTGTATATAATAAAGTTTCAAAAAAGTCATCATCTTTACTTATAGTTTAATAATCCAATTTTTCTTTTGCAAAATATCTACCATTTTCCCCATGTCATTAAATATCTTATACATCATTTTAACGGTTGCATAGTATTTCATTGTTTGTTTCTACACGTGTCATGTCAAAATAGGATGCCTATACTTTTAGATAAATATATGGTTGGAATATGAGATGCAAAGACCATAATCCACCTTCCACAAGACAGCACTCCCTAAACTTCTTCAGGGACATATAGTCCTAGAGAACAAAGCAAATTTAGATAATGCTCTATTACTACCTGGGCCTTGGCTTCTAATCCCAGAGTAGAATTCTAATGAGCCAGGTTAGAACATGAAAGGATTCTGACTTAAGTTAGGTAGGTTCTTTTTTTTTTCTTTTTTTTTTTTTCGCTGGGAAATATTTGCCCTGAACTAACATCTGTTGCCAGTCTTTCTCTCTCTTTTTGATTCCTCCCCAAAGCCCCAGTACATAGTTGTATATTCTAGTTGTAAGTCCTTCTAGTTCTTCTATGTGAGCCACCACCACAGCGTGGCTACTGACAGATGAGTGGCGTTGTTCTGTGCCCAGGAACTGAACCTAGGCCACCCAAGGGAAGCGCACTGAACTTTAACCACTAGGCCATCAGGGCTAGCCCTAGGTAGGCTCTTACATGCAATGTAAACTGCTGTCTTATGTCTCTTCTGATGCTGTTACTCAAGGACTCCCCAATTTATTTTGCTGTACTCCTGCTTCAGTAGTAAGACACAGAAGTCTTGAGTATAAGACACTCATGTTATTCAAGTTGTGATGGTTTCCTGAGGAACAAAATATAAACCAATCAACAATTGTAGGTGTTAGAAATTCTGCATTCCATCAGTCTGGAGCTAAATCATGTCTTTCCATCTTGTAAGTCCATCTTCTTCCCAGCCAGCTTGGCATTCTCTATCCCTATGACTAGAATGGTCTCTACTTCTCTCCTAAGAACCCACTGTTTCAAGTTAACCAAAATTAGGAGTCTTTCTCAAACTTTGTTAATTACCGAAGAAATGGATTTCTTCTCTGTGGATTTCTGAACACCTCAGAGTTCCGGCTGACGGTACCTCACTGATCTGAGACCAGAGACCATGAGCTACAATTCTGGACTGGTGGCCTGCTTTCACAGAGGGCTTTATTATCTCTATATCTTCTCTCCTCTTGTTACTTCTCCTTCTCATTCCTTTTTCCCCTCCAATCCTTTCCCTCGCCTGTGGAAGAATGAGGACACACACTCAGCTTGGATCAATCAGAGGAAACGTTTTTATTTTTTCCTGCATCTATAGTAGAGAGCCAGTCAAATTCCATGTAGTATATATGGTAATGTGTTAACTGAACACAAGGTTTGTGAATTCATTTGCAGGGTGGTGAGTTAATTATCACAGGGTTGGTAAGATCATTTACAGCGAATATGAACAAATTCAATTTCTGCTAAACAATTTATTATAACAAACCCAGTTTTTTATGGTAAACATTCTTTATGGTAAACCTGCTTTACAAGCTTAATTGATTCAGTTATTACGTTTACAAACTGTTGAGGAAAACTCACTCTTCTTGTGTGTTTCTCCTTATTCTCACACTACTACCACACCCACAACATCTCTGATACCAGACGTGTGGGTTTTCCCAAACACTATGCAATTCTCTGTGACATCAGCTGGGTGTCCTACAATTTAACTCAGTTCTGACATTACCTACCTGGAGATCCCACAGGTTTAAAACTCAGTCCCACAAGACCCCGCCCTGTGCCTACCTCCCGCACTTCAGACACCAATCACAAGTACCAGGCTGTTACCTGTGCCTCTGACCAACCAGCTATAAATTGGCATTCCCATGACTCCCCTCCTTGGGTTTGAAATTTGCTAAGGAATATTAGCATCTAGAACACATCAAGGGCTACAGATATAATTCAGGGAAGAACAGAAATGTAGGATTCATAACATACAAGAGTCAGAATTTAAAAAGTTTTTAACTTAATGGTAAACGTCTTAGAGTAACAACTCATATTAGTATAATGTTTCGTTGCTAACAGAGCATTTGATATAGAGTATCTCACTTCCTCTTCACAACAGTCCTCTCAGATGCTCACTTTGACAGAGACGAAGCTGATACCCAAAGGGGTCAATTGACACACCTATCTCTTATTGAGTTAGTTAGTGGCAGTGCTGTGACTGAATGCCGTCTCTGACAACTGATGGGAGTTCTTGGCAGACTCCACACTGAACAGTTGAAACAGAAAAAAACTAGAATGGATTCACAAAGCAGTGAATCAACAGATATACTGAAAAATGAAAGAGTACTAAATAGTCCTATCACAATAAGTCAAGAAGATATCATTTACTTCAAAAATAGAATATGTAAATTCAGTGTCCTAAACAAAGAAATTTCTGAGTAAGCACAATAGACAGGCAGCTGAAAAACTACTGGAGAAAAGAAAATTTCCTGGAATTGAAAAAAGAATGTAGCCTGAAAACCTTCTCTTCAAGAATGAAAAGCCAAAGAAAGATACTTAGACGTAAACTTGTAAATTACTTTAATCTTAAAAATAAAGCATACTTCATTCAATTAAGAAGGGATTGCACAATAATTACATTGTAAGATACTAGAAAATATTTATTGGTCCCTGCCCCCCGGTTCCTGGCACAGAACTCCTGAAACCCTTGTAAATTCCTAAGTGATAAGAGCACTGGGAGCATATTTTTTCCTATTGAGGCGACTCTGGGTGGGCTCCTGGATGGCGGCTGGTCACCAGAAAAACCAAGCCACGATTAAATGTTTGGAATTTTCATCCCCACTCTCACCCTCCAGAGAGAGGAAAGGGGCTAGAAATGGATTTAATAATTGATCGTGCCTACGTGAAGAAGCCTCCATAAAATTCCAATAGGTTCGAAGATCTTCCAGGGTGGCGAACACATTCATATCTGGAGGGTAACGCACGCCAACTCCACAAGGACAGAAGCTCCAGTGCTCGGGACCCTCCCAGACCTTGAATTGTGTAGCCTTCATCTGGCTGTTGATCTGTGTCCTTTATCATACCCTTTAAGAAATTGGTAAACATAAGTGTTTCCCTGAGTTCTGTGAGCTGCTCTAGCAAGTTAACTGAACCTGAGGAAGGGGTCATTGGAACTTCTGATCTATAG